TACATTGATGACCTAACAAGTTTCAATAATTACATTAAATACTTTTTAGTACGATTTTACCAATAAAGTTTGCTCGAAGAAATGAGATCTCTTGCCTTTTATAATTTGAATAAAAGAAAATGACCTTTTTCATATTCATTATATATAAAAATGATGATCTCTTATAAAATTTTAAATAAATTATAAATGGTTAGAAAATCATTTCTATGAAATTGCTTATTATATAACTTAAAAATGACTTAAATGTCCTTCGTGTAGACTGTACCTATTAATAAATTTATGGTTTTAAAAACAAGAATATTGGGCTTTATGCATGTATAGGTTAAATGGCCAACCAAAAGAGCGCATGGTGTCCATTGTTTTATATAATTAAAATTATTACTAATATATATTGCTTGGCTTAATTAATTGAGAAGAGACACTAAAACGAAATAACGAGTAGTCACTTCTCCAAAATAATATAAAGAGTGGCATTGTGTGTGAAAATGTCAATAGATTATTAAATTCATCCGGAAGTTTCAATTCACCGTCAATTAAACATATGATAAAATATTTTTATTAAATACTTTCAATTTAAATTTTAAAAAAAACTTCTACATGTACTGAATAAAAAGTAAAGAGTTAAATTTGCTCATGGACAAGTTGTGCATAACACATAAATATGACTTTTAACTTGACTTTATGAGCTGACATCTATACCCTTTAATTTTGGATATGTACAAATAGACACTTAAATTTGTATAAATTGAACAATCAAACATATGTATCATATGTGACATAACATACGAAGGATATAAATCTTCATGTAGGATGTCACATAGGACACATGTATCTATTTAATTTATTCAACTTTATACAAGTTGAAGTGTTTATTTATGAACAATCAATATTGAAGGTTATAAATGTCCGTTAAAATCAAATTAAAAAATATATTTATGTATTATGATAATCAATAGCCAAGAGTAAAGGAAGCAAATAAAATTCCATCCAAAGAACTAGAAAGAAAAAGACATTTTCGTCAATTTTTATATGCACTATAAAAACCATATAGACAATAAATGGTATGTAGATGCTGAGTCAATTAAAACATATTGTATGGTAATGATAATTGATAATACAAAAATAACAATAGTACAATTAGGTAGCAATAAGTGGAGTTAATTAGTGTGAATATGTTATAACTTATAAGTGCATGTAACACACACGTGTTGATATGCTTTGGCCATGTGCCCTCACACTCCCATTTTCTTATTTACCTCATTACATGTATTTATGGCACAAGCAAATATTATAATGGCGTGTACCATACCATAATTTTACTCGCGAGTCACATTATAAATTGTTATATAAATATAGTCTTTTTCTTTCCCTCTTTAATTTAACTGTCTATTATTCAAAACGTATTGAAAACTGATTAATTCATGTGTGAGAGAGTAAGGTGGTTCGTGCAGAAAGTTTTTGTTACGTTCACGCTTTGAGAGGTATTTTTTTATTTTATGTTTGATTAAAATTTGTAAGAATGTTACTAGTATTTTTTATGTGCGAGTCTTCTTAATTTTGCTTTCGTTGTATATGTAGTTCTAATTCTAACAAGGAAAATTCCCCGTTTATAATGAGAAAAAATATTTTGTCATTTAGACATTTTTGTGTGAATTTATTTATTTATTATTTCCAAAATACTCATATTTTTGGTATTTCATTTTTTTAGAAAAACTAAACAAAAACCAAAACTTGGAGATGAATTTGTGCACATGCAATATACTCACAAAACTCCATCCAATACACTCCACCGAAAATAAGTTTAAAACGCAACTAACATTAAGCAAAATTTTAACCTAAGCCAAATGCCTATATTTTAATTATCCTATAGACTATAACAATAATTCAGTGTGATTCCAAAAGTAAAATTTAAAAAGAAATAGTATATACATACCTTATCTCTATTATAGAAAAAAACTCGCGGGTCATCGATCAACTATAATACGTAACAATAATAACTTAAACTGTTGGTTCATGTATGTCTCGCAACTAACAAGAACCTTCAAGGAAATCATCTATGGGCTTTTGGCCTGACTTTGGTTGGCGCATAAGTTCAAATTTTTGAAAACTATATATGAACCTCTTGATGTACTCTAAGGGGTCGTTTGATAGGCTGCATTAGAAGAAATAGTCCATGTATTATGTAAGATATTATTTAGTATTATATTTGGTAGTAATTTTAGCCTATGTATAATTAATCCATGAATTAGTTATACCTCCTACATGGTATCATAGGATGTATTACTAATACCTTCCATTTGGAGGTATTAGTAATACATATGATATAATACCATGAGATAAGTCTATGTAAAGACAAAAGTATCCCTCAAATTATTTTAATTATTTTGTATTTTCTTGATTTTGTGTGGTTTTCTAATTATTTGTATTTTGAACAATTTAAAAAATTACATACATATTAAAATTACAACTTGCAATTTTTATATGTAAATGTAGATGGTTTATTTCATTTACCATTGTTGACCGTCTTTTCGATTTTAAAAGTAGATGATTTATCTTTTTTAAATTTAAAAATGACATTTTGTGAGTGATCAATTTATTAAGATGACAATTATTTATCCTCAAATAATTCAAGTGAAAAAATAACAAACATGACAACAAAATTGTTCTTCTCATAGCTAGTTAGAAGACCATAAAAAATAATATTGTCCTGCAATTATCTACCTTGACCCAATTACATAATAATTCAAGGGTATATTTGGAAAGAAGCTTTTTATAGAGTTTTAATCCAAATAGAAGATGAGGTGGAAAACAATGAACCAAACACTTGATAAAAATAAACTTTGCATTACTAATCCCTGCACTACTAATTCATGCATTACTAATCCATGCGTTATTAATCCCTGCGTTATTAATCTTTATACCAAACGATCCCTAATTTTAACTTGGATATCACATTTAATCCCCCAAAGAATTTAAACTTAGTAATATGAGTATCTAATTGATATATCACGTGTTGTGTCTTTACCATTAAAAAAAAAGTCACAAAACACTTAATAAGATGATCACTTTATCGGTCATATTTCACAGGTCCGTCGATAGTTGTCTAGTTTTAGGGCGAAGAGTAGAAATTTTAAAAATATAGCCTATATAGGTGTTAAAATTAGTAGGCTTTTTAAAACTTATATTACTTGATATTTGAAATTAAAGTTGAAAAAAGTAATATTTGATATACTAAGTAATTAATTTGTGTTTAGCGTGAAAAGACAATTCAAAATTTGTAAATAAAAACTTAAAACAAACTTTGAAGAATATCTAAAATTTAATTTTCAAATTTAAAATTTAAAATAAATAAATATTTATTTAAAATATTTTTCAAATAATTTTTTTAATATTTTTGAACCCAATATATGGATAAACAAGCTAGAGTGGAATATTATCTTGGTGGGGGCAAGGCGTGGGGTGTTGCCCATAAGACAATGCCTCGATAAAGTCGATTCAATCATATAATATATACACAAAATGTTTGATTATGACTTATGAGGATATCCTTATTTTTTGGATAATATACAAACAAGAAAATTAATAAAATACCTCTTCCTTTCTTGGTGGAAGTGCTATAGCTTTTGTTATTATATATATACCCTATATTTTAATTTAAGACAAATTTTAATTTTATGAATTAAAAAATTAACATTTGATTTCTTTCTGATATTAAGTTTTTCGAAGAGAAAAAACTTCTTACAGTCTCACAGACGTCTTTACTAATATCTATCAATATTTTTAAAGTAATAAAGAGGTTAATACCATCTATTTCAAAAGTTCTAAGAATTTGATTAATGTACTTAAATACATAAAATGCACCAAAACTCAAATCGTTGTATTGATCATTAATTACAACTTCAATAAATAATTATATAAAAAAATAACAAACTTGAACATCATCCAATTATAGACCACACAAGTCACTAGACAAGGCAACATGATTAACAATTCGTGAATTGGGTATATATTCCACTTTATCATTGCAATCTTTGATTTTTTGTATTTCTAGTTTTGTTTCATACATAAATATTAAACTCAAAAAGTGAAATTACATTATTTTCTTAACAAAAAACATTATCAAGAACCTCTTAGACCTCATGTTATAATCTTGATCGTGATAAGAAAAATCATTTAGACAACCATCACTTTCACTTTACCTAAATTTCACTTCATAATCACAATCATCAATTATCACAATATTACTAAATACACATACTCACAAAAAGATAACTATTTTTTCTCAAAGATTTTTTGTTAACTAAAATTCATTAAGTATTTGCAAAAATTAAATATGCTCACTTGACCAACTTATATAAAAGTATAGTTAATAAATCATTTTAAATTTATCAGTATCTTTAATTTGAAACAGTTATGAGAGAGAAAACCTTAATAGAGTAGCTGGCTTTATTTGTTGCCTAGTAGAGCAATCTTTAATATTCTCTTTATTTTATTTTATTTATTTATTTTAACAAATCATTTTTTTTTCATAACTACATAAATAATATTATTAATAGTTAAATTTACAGTTTTAATAACATATTCCTCTAATTAATTTTTTCTTTAAAATCTTGGCAGATAAACATGAGTTAGTTATAATTAATATGAAAAGAGGAGCAGAAGTCAATAACTTTAAATGTATAACCAAAAAAAAAATATTTTATTTATTTAAAAAAAACATTTATTTTTCTTTTTAATCTATTTAAAAAAAATAATCTATTATTTTATTTATTTATAATATTTTAATTTCACCTTTTCACGCGATAAAAATATTCCTACACATTTAACGTAGCTTTAATTTATTTTCTTAAATTTGGAGTCAATTTCAAGTGCCCCATTCTTTTGTAAAGAGTAAATTTTTTTGGCTTTGTACAGTACAAGATGATGATGATGATCATTGCTATAAAGAGTACCCACAAGAAAAAGGAAAAATGAGTTCTTCAATAGTTTCATACCTTTTCTTTCACTTTTCTATGTGACAAAGAAGAAAGCAAAAGGGGTTAATTGTATAAAAAAAAGAAATAGAAAATAAAGAGGTGGGTTTTATGAGCTGATGCTGAAATTGGGTTTCTCCAATAACATGGATCTTGGCAAATCTTGGAATAGTAGTAGTAGTAATAGAAGTGTTGTCAGCTCTTCCCATAGTTTTAGTTTCAGTTACTTCCATTCATTAACGTCAGCTCTCTTGTTTTTGTCTTTTGGGAGTTCAGTTTCAGTACCCAAAATGGTCTTATTTAATTTCTCAACCATTATACCTTCTTTTGATGATGATTTGATTGTAAAGTTTTCATCTTTTTCATTTTCTTGAAGAAGAAAGACTCCAATTTAATCAACATCACTCTCTCCTCAACTGTTTCTTTTGTTTGTTTGCTTAGTTTTCTTGATTGTTTAGTCTTGTATCGTCAGCCCCCTTTTGTTTTTGTTCTCTTTTTAAAGACCTAGAGAATGCTGTGTGCATCATTGCCAGGGTTGAGTCATCAACAGATGTTGGTTGGTGGTGCTGTCAAGGAACTTTCAGCAGCTATGTCTTCTTTGAATGTTTATAGCAGGTAAAGATTTGTGCTTTTTTGTTCAAGAATTGATTTGGGTTTTATTGGATTGTTTTTTAGTTTTGCTGTTTGAGATGATTGATTGATGGGTTGTAAGTTTCATTGTTATTTGTTTATCTATGAGTAGACCCTTTTTTTGTTTGAATGTTTACAGCAGGTAAAGATTTGTGCTTTTTTGTTCAAGAATTGAATGGGGGGTTTTGGATTTTGGTTATTGAATTGTTTATTATTTTCTTGGTTTGAGATGAGTTGATTGATAGGTTGTAACTTGTAAGTTTCATTATTACTTGGTTATTTATTAGAAGAACAAGCATTTTGTGTTGCTAGTACTAGGTAAATTCCCAGACCCTTTATTCTTTACGATCATCAGGTGTGGTTTTGATGGTCGTGTTGGATGTTGGATTGGGAATGAGAAAGGAAGATGGAACAAATTGGCTGCTGCAAGTACAATGGCACCAAAGAAGAGGAGGTTGAGCATTTCCCCTCTGGCTTCCTCTGCTCTAGCAGAAACCCCATATACATCTAGAGCCGAATTCTATGACGAGGTTGGGATTATCATTTCTTGTGATATGCCATCTCTATTCAATGTATTCATGCTGTTAAAAAGTCCTGATTTGGTATTACTAGTTTAATTTCTGCACTTTAATCAGTTTATTCCACTAAACATTTTAAAAGGGCCTGTTGTCATTTGTCGATTGGAGTATGGTGGTATAAATTTTGGCGCGTTTATTGAGGATTTTGCGATTTGGCAGGTCCTTAACGATGCTAGAGAAAAATTTACCCAGGAGATATCTTTCCAATCCAAGGACAAAGATATTTCTTTGGCAAAGGTATTTATGAGTGTTGTTCACCTCTTTTTGTTCAAAGTAGTTGATTTATTGCATTTTCAATTTCAAATAGCAGAAATGACTAAGTTCACTTTGCACTTATATTAAAAAAATGACTAAGTTCACTTTGCACTTATATTCAAAAAATGACTAAGTTCACTTTGCGAGCAGCAATTTTGCATATTCTGTTCATAAACAGTATTTTGGCATTGAGCGATGGAACGGCAGTGTATGAAATGTTGACAGTTGTCATAAAAGTAAAATCGTAAATTGGTTTTCTCCTTTGTTTGTAAGTTTATTGATCGTCCCTCACGTGTGTTTGTTGTTTCCTATTCTACGTATAGGCTTTGCTTTACGTGGCCTCTGAAGATGAGGCATTTATGGCTTTCAACCGGGAGATGGATGCTCATTCACTCCAAATTGAGAGGAGATCAGCTTCATTGGCTTCTCATGCCACAGATTGGACTTGCGTGGAGGCCATGCCTCTTGCTGGAAAAAATATGAATGAATGGATGATTGAGTTGGATGTTATTGCGAGAGAAGTGGAGGCGGAACTAGTTTCAAGAGAAATAGGATGCGATTTGGTTGAAGTTTTAGATGCCGTGAATATGGTGCTTTTCAAGTCAAGGGGTTTCAAAAGGTCACCTGTACTTGTGGATTCAAAGTGTGCATACCTGCATTCAGTATTAAGCTCTGGATATTGTAGTGGTATATTTTCTTGTTCCCTCCCCGCTATCATCATTATTTTGCATATGTACGAAATCCTGCAACCTCAAAATTCTTGTTGACCGCTGATAATGCGATCTGACGTAGTGCTTACTTTCTTTACAGCAATTTTGCTTAGTGTCATTTATATTGAAGTCTGTCGAAGACTTAATCTGACCATTGTGGGATCCCGAGTTGGGGAAGATTTTTTGATATGGCCTCAAACTGGAAACCCTGAGGTGTGTTGTTCTGAACTCATAGATGATGTCAACATCTGTCTTTGTTCGTCCATCCTGTATCATTTTACTTCCTTTATATTCTATTCCTTCAGAAGTTTGTAATGCATGGTATTAATGCCCAATAATCTCATTGAATTTGAATTGTTTTGTTACTCTTATAGGAGCTATTCAAGGTTATCTCTGGTCATAGCTTGTTTGGTATTGTTAATGGGAAGTGTGTCGATGACCCTAGAGCAAAGGCTTCTGACATCAATAGCAATTCTTTGCCGGGGCTTGAGTTAGCAACAAACCGAGATATTATTGGAATTGCTTTGGCTAATTTGATGGTAAGATGTATTCCCTTGTAAAGAGTAGTCGGTAGTTTACATTCATGCATCTCACCGTGTTGATGCTATGGTTGTAACCAAAACTATTCTGTCAGAGGCTTCACTGGAAACGTGCTTCAAGAGCAAATCATGGTTTGATGCTGACTTCTCCGCTTAGATCTGTTGATCATGCAGATGATAAGTCTAGCAAGACTAATTGTCTGAATGTTCCATTGTTGCGGCCTCAAGATTTGAGGTAACAATCTTATCCTCTCTTGTTTTCTTTTTACAACTTTTGGGTCTCGTTCCTGATTAAGCAGGCCCCACTTTCTCTTGTCCCTACAGGTTCAAGATGCTAAATTGCAACCTTTGGCATGAGAAAAGGAGAATTGAGAATATTGGACGCATATTTTTATTTTATTGATTCTGACATACTACTAAAACTCTAACATTCCACTAAAATAACCACTTAATCAATCTTGCTGCGATATAATAGATGCTTATACCTCCATTTAAGTTTATAACATAACGAACTATAGGGTAAAAGATTCCTCACTGATCTAGCTTCATATTGGTATTAAAAGCCCTTTCTATTTCAATATACTGATCCAATTGAAAATGACTAGATACTGCATTATGCAGATAGATTGACTTTCTTTTTACATACTTTTAGCCTCTTCGCCCTTTTACTCCTTTAATGTTGTTTCTCTTCACTTCTCCGACATTCCTTTTAGAAATCCAAGAAAGCTAACCTTATCTTTCTCCCTTTCTGATCTTTAGGATTTGATGCTCTTTTTAGATACTGTAGATACAAAATATACCATGTTTGGATGCATTTATTATATTTGATAGTTGAGGCCAACTATTCGGGGTTTTTTGTTCCACCAAATCTATTAGTTTTTCTTACAAAATCAAGTCAATTCTCCTAACCAAATGTTGTTAAACAGGCAAATATGCTTGCCTGATGATCAACCATTAATTACTTGGAAAAGGAAGTGGTATGCTGGGGGCGGGGGTGGGGTGTTACAGAAGTAACAATGATACCTCATCCACTGCCACATAGAAATGCATGATGGTCTTTTTGCATCAACATTCTCTTTTAGGGAAGCATCTGTTTCTGTTTAGAGATATCCATTCAGCACTTTTTCCTGCTTTTTTTCCATTGTGCATAATATTGAGGTGGTAATAATTGGTACCCGTTATTTCTTCGTTGTATATCAAGTAACAATGAAGTAGGAATTGAGTCATTTGCCAAATTGCAGTACACACATGGGACATATAGAGTTTTTAAGCTATCAAATAGGGCCATAACACTACTTGGCATTTAATGATTATCTAACGTGCAGAACCATGCTAGTCTCGAGTAAGGATGGATCATTTTCCATCTTACTATTCTCGATGATAAGCAAAACGATCCAAGATTTGTGTATTTTCTTAACTAATTGCAGGTGTTGTGCTTAAATTAAGGTTTTTCTGGTCATCACTCAAGAGATTTCTGACCTTTGCATTAGGTCATTAACTTGTATCTGTATGTAATATCTGTTCACTTATAATGACATTATGTCTCTCTCTGGAATGGCACAATACTTTCTAGGCTGGCCATTATGGCTTCAGAAAGATTGCTCATTCTGCAGCCACACAATTGGGCTCTGAGGAGAGACCATGGAATGATGTTGTACTATAGTAGGTATGCCTTATCTGAAATTTCCTTTTTCTTTCTCATTTCGACATGCTTTCATGGAACAGACTGTTGTTTTGACATATAAATAACATGCATCAGGGAATATGAAGAGGCAGTTCAGGAGCTTAGCATTTGCATGGCCTTTGCCCCAGAAGAAGAAGCAGAAGTTTTGGAACCATTTGTTGAGAAGCTACACTTGTTGCGAGTCGAATCGTCTTGGAAGTCTCAGGGAAAGAAAGGCCATTTAACAGTTTCTTGAACTGTTTCTGGTTTGTAGGGCCATTGAGTTTGTATTAAGAGCACAACCAGTAGAACTTTAGCTGTAATATCTTTTTTTGGGCCTTGTGTACATATTTTCCTTCAACCAGAGGCTAAATTTGCATCCTTTCTATAATGAGATGAATAACATAAGCAAGTACTTAATGGAAAAATCTTCTTGACGCTTCTAGAAATGAGTCTTGCAATGCGTGGTCTATCATATTCATCTGCAATGTTATTAGAGTACTATTTTTTTTAGACAAAGATGCAAACCACTATGCTTAATGCTAATGTAAATAAGATTATGAAAGAAATAGTTTGAAAAAGCTACTTCTCCACTGCCAGTTACATCAAATTGTTAAGTGATTAATCATTATTTGTAGGCTGAATATGACTGATTAGCTGATAAGATTAAGTGGAATTATCCTAGTTATAAGTACCCTCAAAAGTCCAAACATGCAATGTGGTCCCAAGCTTACACCCTCTTAAGATAAACAAAGAAATCAAACGTAAGTTAGGTTGAATTTGTTATGCTTTCTTTATAGTTTTCTTTCTTCTATTACTTGGAGATTGACGCAATTGAGCAGAGGGTCTTTCAAAAACATCTCTATCTCCATGATGTAATAGTAAGATCTACATACACTCTACCCTCCCCAGATCTTATTGAGTAGATTTCACTGGAGATTTTGTTGTATTATGATTATATATAATTAACATGTTAAATAAAAAACCTACTTTCAAAAATATTTTGACAAAACTTATGATTGATCAATCTAATTTTGATAGCCTGAAACAAATTAGGCTGAAATGGAGCAAATAAATTAACAGGTCAATTTTCTACCTAAGCATAAACAGACTGGACTAATTATATTTTTGGACTAATTTTATCACATCTACCTAATGTATATGAAGATCACTAGACATTAGGAAAAATTGTACAACAAAGACATCTTGGACTTATTAGCAAGAATCATGTAAAAGAATGGCATGATATGTGCTTGTTTTCTAGTAAACAAGGCTGCTCTCAATGAGAATGACATGAATAATATTACTCAATCACTATATAATAGTTGTAGATATATATCATATTCATCTACATGCATTATTATTGCCACACGGCAATCGTTCAATGGATTACTTTTGTAATGTCTGTCACATGAAGATGCTCAACAAAGATCGATGAGATTCCTTTTGGTACATTGCTTATAGCATGAGACTAACACAGCTATAATTTGGACTCTACGAAAAGTAGGAAAATAAAAGAGGCGTTTCCACAAAATTTGCCTCATTTTCTGAATAAAATGCATATTGAATGACATATATTAACTTTCTTCATTCAATATTTGCCTTTCTTGTAGTAATTCATTAATCTACTCTTCTTCAATAGTCTCAAGCATGGATATAGTTGTCTTTTTTTGTTCTTAATATAAATTTTCTAGTTATAGCTTCAATTTTTGTTTGTTATGCTAATTGTGGTATTCATATAATTAGTTTGTGCGTATTTCGATTAATTTTAGAGAATCTCACCAATACATAATTATTGGATAACTTTGTTTATCAAGACGATCTCTAGCATAAAATTAGTGGTCCAAATATATAAATTTGTTACTATACAAGATTCATGGATTTAATTGACAAATAGTCATTTTTGGTCAATTCATCTTTAGCCAACATTTTAAAGTTTAGCCATTTTATAATCGGAATTTTGTTTTTAGGACACAACTAAATTCAGTTTTGAGACCTAATAGCATAAGAAAATAAGAAAATTGTGGAGTGCATATAGCTTTCTAGCGATAGTAATTGAAAATGATTAGAAAGTAGAGGAATATTCTTAATACAGTCGAAATATTAAAGATAATCAAAGTAAAAGAAACAACAATAAGATAGGACACTGAAAGCATGCGAGCTCCCATTTCATCCACCTTAATCTAATACAATGTGCTACGTCTTCGTCGGTCTCCTTATTTCCTTAGATTATAGATGGTAATAAACACGTGTATTTTTCATGCAGGGGGCAATCAATCTATTTTGTCTTGTAACCCATTTCTTATGCGCATGAGATCACTCTTTTTTTACTAGCTTTTTACAAATTTAATAATAGACAATTCAATGTATGAAGGGAAATTTTTTGGTTCCCCAATCAACGAGAGACACCTTGTCTATCACATATGACAAGAAAGAACAAAAGGAAAAAGATTCACAAAAGGCATAAACATAACTCTAAACTTAACTTTAACTAATAACTATGACCTTTAACTTTACCGATACACAAGTAGACATTTTAACTATTTAAAACTTACACAAATAAACACTCCAATCCTAATTACAAAATGCGAGAAATACACCCAAATCACGTGTGTCAATAGTAAATGTAATATCACAAAAATTATAAAATCAAATCAGAAGGAAGATCTCTCAAATTATCCTATTAATTACTTAATGTGATGCAATGAAAATTATAAAATCAAATCAGAAAGAAGATCTCTCAAATTATCCTATTACTTAATGTAATGCAATGAAAATTATAAAATCAAATCAGAAGGAAGATCTCTCAAATTATCCTATTACTTAATGTAATGCAATGAAAATTATAAAATAAAATCAGAAGAAAGATCTCTCAAATTATCCTATTACCTAATGTGATGCAATGAGATGGAGATTTGCACACGCTTGTTTTCATAATCTTATAGTTTAAATAGACCAACTTAACCCTAATCTCTTTATCTAAGAATTCTTGCAAATTACTACTACTAAATAAAAGTTGGGATCAACTAATATCATGAAGTCTATCATAAAGTTGGGATTATGTTTTGTTATTATAATATTGATGATGGTATTAGATGGCGCAAATGGATTTTCTGATGTTCAAAGATGTGCAAATGCTTGTATTACCAAGTGTGGCACTACTAATCTTCAATGTTACAATGATTGTCTACATCGTTGTGTCAAGCTTCTTCTATAGATCCATTTGTTCATTTCTCCCTTCTTTAGGTAAATGAAAAGCGGAGAACAGACTGAATAAATTAGATTCGAAATTTGAAGTTCATGTGTTTATTATATTGACTTCAAGTTATTATTATAATATTTATTAGAATTATTACTATAATGTCTTCAAAGTTGTGCAATTTGAATATTCATTCATGTTTGTTGGGATTTTTTTTAATTTTTAATTTTTATTTAATTATATCGGTTGGCAAATTTATAGGTGGAGATTGATTTAATATGAAAACTTTTGTTTGACCACGTATTGTGCATGAGTTAATGTTCGAGGTCACTTATCATTTTATAATATATTGCATTATATTATATTTTAAAGATTAATTTGATATTTAAATAAATTGAATCATTTTTTGTGTTTTATAATATCATACACCAACAATACAAGGACTAAGTTTATAATATTACATAAATGAAATAAAATACAAAAAAGATACATTGTAAAATTAACACCAACAATCTATCTAGTATAATCTCATAAGTGTGATCCGTAGAGGATCATAAGTAAGGTGTGACGTCTTTGGAGCAACGCACAACTAAGGTTTGAAGAAGTTGAAATGTAGGCAATAGAATTTACTCGTCTTACATAGGCAATAGATTTTACTCTTAAGTAGCATGTGGTTACATCAAATTAATTACGTATCTAGTACCTCCAAGAGGTAGTGGTAAGATCTACGTACATTCTATCCTCTCCAAATCCCATTTAGTAGATTTCACTGGGTATATTATTGTTGTTGTTATAGTAGTTTTATATGATTATATATACTTTCAAAAATTAAAGAATTGCATGATGTGTGCTTGTTTTCTACTAAACAAGGCTCTTCTCAATGAGAGTGACATGAATAATACTCAATCACTGTATAATAGTTGTAGATATATGTCATATTCATCTACATGTATTATTCTTGCCACCCAACA